GCTGGGGTTGGAACCGAGGGCCTTGAGCCTGTGCAGCAGGCATTCCACCACTGAGCACACTCCAGCCTGTGAGCTGGGGTCCTGTTGGCCTGTGGTCACAGCCCCGCCCCACTCCCCTGTGCCATCTCTGGGTGTTTTCCCATTTTTAAAATGGGGTTGCCATCATTTGGCCTTCCTGGGGTCCTCATGAAGGTCAGCGTGGGGAGCAGCCAGCCCCAGGCCTACCACATAGGTCTACTATACAGGTCATTTGCCCCTTCCCAGGCACAGAAAGGAGGGTCCTGGGCACCTGTCCAGGAAGCCCACCCCCTCCCTGCTACCGTCTCTGCAACCAGGCTGGCACTGAGCCCCGCTCCGCCAAGGTAGCGTTAGGCTCAGAGCCAGGTGACACTGGAGGCTGGGGGAGAAGGGCAGAGAGCTGGCTCAGGGCTGCTAGCAGCAGCCAGGTCCCTCTCCCACCAGGCCAGTGTCCAGCGGACCCTCCCTTCATTGTTTTGCCCTGTTCTTCCCTCTCCCTCCCTCCCCCACTGCCCAGCTCGCTGTCCAGAGGTACGAGGAGCTGTTCCCGGCCTTCTCGGATTCCCGGGAGTGCAAGCTGATGAAAGTGAGTGCTGGGCTCAGGACCCACCCCCAGCCCACAGTGGAGCAAGGCGGTTGGGTTGTCAGGGCGAGGGGCTCCTGAGGACAGGACCTGGCTGCTTGGGCTCCTGGTAGGATAACTACCAATGCTTTTCAATGCCCAGTGCTTTTCAAAGGGTTTGTTTTGTTTTCTTCCTTCTATCAGTTGGCTCTCCAGTCTCTAGATGAGAAGAGCCAGGGACAGGCCAGGGGCAGGGCTGGGTGCTGGACGTTGACACAGGCACACATACATACCCTGTGGTATTCTGCCAGGAGGTGCCCTGGGAGGGAGTCATTTCTGATGAGTAGGTAGGCAGGATTGAGACACGTCCCTTTCTCCCTCTTGGTGGCACGGGAGACCACCTCCTCGCCTTCAGACCCCTTCCCAGCCTGTGCTTGGATCTGGTCCAGGCCAGGCCCCAGCTAGCCTCCCTGACCCCGGCTTGCCATTTGTTTGCAGAAGTTGTTAGAAGCTCATGAGGAACAGAATGTGGACAGCTATACAGAGTCGGTAAGTGGCAGTATGGGTGGCCAGATCCCTCCAAGGGGGTGACCCCCAGAGCAGACTGCCTTCTCCAACACGCTGTCCCACAAAATCTCACCTTTTTTGGTCTCTGGTCCCTAGGCCCTGACTAGAATTTCCTTTCCTCAGTCAGTTGCCCCCAAATCTACAAGTAACTCCCAGGGTGTGGGTAGCTTTGTAAGGGGCAGCCCTGAGGCTGAGGAAGGAAGGGGACTTGGCCTTGGACCCTTAGGGTGCAGACCCCCATCTGTCTGCTCACAAAGGCCAAGGTCTTTGCACCACTGGGAGTCCCCCAGGATGAGCAGTGGAAGCTGTCTCACATCAGGCACTTTGGGTGACCCAGGAGGAGGAGCCTCTAGGGAGGGAAGAGGAGAGTGGGAAGGGACCCGAGGGGGCCAGCTCCCCCCTCCCCAGTGGACCTGCCCACCGGGGGTCTCCTGCCCTTTCCTCACTCTGCCCTGGATATTCTGGAACTCAGTTGTGTCCACCTAGACTTGGCCTGCTTTGGTTTTGGGGTGGTGTCGCCACCCAACTTTTCCCTAGTGCTCCCAGGAATTTAAGCCAACCCCAGCTGATCCCATCTGCCCCAGGGAAGTGGGAGGGCAGGCAGAGCTAGTCCCCTGGGCTCTTTCTCGGGGACCAAAGTGACAGGAGCACATCTTGAAAAGCTTGGGCCTGGAGCTCGGGTGCCCTGCTGGAGTGGGGGCAGAGGTTGTCTCACCTGCGGCCCCTGCAGGTGAAGGAGTACGACTCCATCTCACGGCTGGACCAGTGGCTCACCACGATGCTGCTGCGCATCAAGAAGACCATCCAAGGCGACGAGGAGGACCTGCGCTAGGCCCTGTCTCCCGCCTGTCTTCTGTCTGTCTGCTCAGAGAGGCGGGGCCTGAGACTAGCTGGCCTTGAGACCTTCCCTCCCCTTCCCCACCTGGGGAGTCTTGCAGGCCACGTGGGTGGCAGTGTGGGCTCAGCACCACTTCAGGGCGCCAGAGGCCAGGGCCTGCTGGCTGGACAGTCACCCTCTGTTCTCGCTACATCCCTCACCCCTGCCCATTTATTTAAGCCCTTAAAGGTGTCCTCCACCCAAGAAACCAGGTGTACAGAATCTTTAATAGAGACCTGTTTGCTCTGGGTCCTGCTGGAGTCTGGGATCAGTGTCTGGTCCCGGCTCCTGAGCAGCTGAGCCGAAAGGTCGGCGGCTTCTCACCCACCTTGACCCCAGATGAGCCCTGAGTACACATAGTCACTGAGATTTGCTCTCACTGCTCGGGGTGCGCTTTGCCCCAGCAGTCTGCAGCCCCTACCTCTCAGGTCAGCTCTGGGCCCTGGAGCCCAGAGGGTGTCCCCCAGACCCACCCTTGCGCCTGCTCCTTCCCCAGTGCTTCAAGGTTTTGTCGGTTGGTTGGAAGCTGCAGCTGCCCGAGAAGGAAAATAAAAATCGCCACTTTTGCATGAGTCTCTTCCTCCTCACCTCTGCTGCCCTCCTCAGCCCACAGCATCCCCGCCTGGCCATGGTGCATCCTGTGGGTAGTGGGACATGCTCCCCCAAGCAGCCTGACAGGGACTTGGGCTGGGCAGGTCCTGGGGTGGAGGCCCGGGATGTGGGCTCAGAGGAGCCGCAGGGCTTGGTCCCACGTTCCTGGGCTTTAGGGTCTGTGGGCCTTGGTTTCACCCACTGGGGAGCCTCAGAGCTGGCTGGAGGGCGGAGCGGAAGGGAACCTGAACTGTCCCACCCTCACCCACGTCCAGGTTCCCCTGGGGGGCAGGCTGGACGCCCAGTGACAGTTGTTCCATCTGTCACGGGATGGAGAAGAACTGACTTTGTGGGCAGAGTGTGAGTCCTGTGTGGGTCTGGGGGTGGGACAGGTGACAGGTCCCTTTGCCTGACAGAGGTGGGTGGGAACTGGCCAGCTTTGCCACACTCCAGAGTGGGGTCCCCTGTGAGCCAGACAGATTACCTGGTCCGCCTATGCTTCCCCAGGGTGACCCCTCCCTGTGGTGGGGCACTGGCTGGAGGAGACTGCAGGGAGGCAGAGTGTCACAGCATGTGGGATGGTCACGAAGCAGCAGGGACAGTGATGAGGAGGGGCTGTCTGGGAGAGGCTCCAGCACTGGCCCTGCGGGAAGTTCTGGTGAGGCTCCGGAGTTGAAGGAGTGGCCAGGCCCACATCAGCCCTGCCCACCGCCCCGCAGCTCCCCACAGCTCTACAGTGGACTGCTGGGACCTGGGCAGGTGGCCCGGTCTGCTCCAGGCGCTGCTGACGGGGAAGGGTGGGAAGCTGTTTCTGCACCCATGACCTAGGTCTAACTCTCAAGCCATTGAACATCTTCCACCTCGGGCCACAGCCTACGCTAAGTCGTGGTTTGAGTGAGGCTCCTGCTCTGGGTTGGTCTTAGGGAAGCTCCACAGGTGGTTCAAATGAGCAGCGGGGGGGGGGGGGGGGGGACCTGAAGGGGGCAGTTTTTGACTTGCCATCATAACTTCATGTGTTTTTCATTCACTCAACAACTACTAAGTGAACGAGGTTCACAGGCTGCCACATGGGAAGGGGACACTGGCCCCTGTGTCCCATTCACTCAGGCTTCTCATCTCTGTGCCAGGTCGAAGGCACACTCTGGGCACACCCAGGGCTGCGCCTAGGAGCTCTTACCAACTCCAGATCTCTGGGGTTGCCCACCCGCTTTCTTTTCCCCACTTTCCATGTCCACCTGCCTTGAGGGCTTGCACGTGCTGTCCTTCAGGTACTAATCGCCCAGGGCTTGGTGAAGGGCCTAGCATGCGCTCTGTGGTTCTGAACAGGTACTGCTGCCTGCTCAGTCAGGCCTAGTGTTCCAGGTGCTGGCGATTTGGCTGAGCCTAGGGAGACGCAGTCTCCACCTCCTGGAGCTGTTCCGCAGGGAGAATGACAGGACACCTGACCAACCCATGTCTCCTGGAAATGACATATGGATGCACACAGGGTCCCCAAACCTTGTCCTAGGGACAAGGAAGTGTGAACAAGAACCCCTGGAGGCCTCAAACACCTATTTTACATTTTGTCGCCACCACTCCCTGGCCATCAGCCAACGACTTACTGTCCCCAAGCCTCAATTTCATTATTTGTAAATTGGGATATAAATCTCTTTGTAGGGTTCTTGCAAGGATTTTCTGGGTAAAATCTGTAAATGGTATCCTGGCACAGGGGGAAAGCTTAGTGAATGAAAGGGGGAAGGTACCCACTGGCCCCACTGAATAGTTGTGTGGCACCCATAAGAATGGCCAACCGGACTGTCAGCGGGGTGGCATTCAAGAAAGGAGGTGGTTATGTGCCACCCTGATAGATCTGTTTTAGGGTAAGAACATGATAGTTAAAATAATGAAGTAAAGCATCAACTTGTTTGGGCTCCAGTGCTGCTGCTGCTTTTGGGGGAGATATATACTGGGGATCCAACCCAGGGGCGCTTTACCACTGAGTTGTTTCCCTAACCCTTTTCAGTTTCTACTTTGAGACAGGGCCTCAATAAATTGCCCAGGCTGACTTTGAACTTCTTGACTTGCGATTCTCCTGAGTCCCTGGGATTACAGGCGCTCACCACTGCATTCGGCCTAACTGGTTCTTTACAGCTGTGTGGTCATAAGCAAGTTACTTGACCTCTCTGTACCTCAACTCCATCTGTAAAATAGATATGAGTGGATGTATCTACCTCGGCCTGCTGGTGAGTTTTGAATAGATTGTTAGGTTGAATGCCCTCAGAGTAACTGTTCCTGGCACAGAAGGGCAATGTTAAGTTTTATGATGATTCTCATTCTACCTTCCACACAGCCTACAAGGAAGGGCCGAGGGTCGCCACCTACCATCTTTGGTTACACTCCTGCAGCCCCTTTCCTTCGGGTGAAATGGAAAGGGAAGAGCGCGCAAGCGCAATAGGACAAAGTGGTGTGGGCGCCATCTTGATACAGGGCAACGTCCGCAGTTTGTTTACGTCATCCGTCTGCGCGACTGGCAGGCGTCCGATGGATTAGGTAGAGAACAGTGGTCCGAGGCATAGGCTGCGGAGGGGCGTGATGGGGGAGGCGGCCGTGGCCGCGGGGCCCTGCCCGCTGCGCGAGGACAGCTTCACGCGTTTCTCGTCGCAGAGCAATGTGTACGGGCTGGCCGGCGGCGCGGGTGGACGCGGGGAGCTCCTCGCGGCCACCCTTAAAGGCAAGGTGCTCGGCTTCCGCTACCAAGACCTCCGACAGAAAATCCGGCCGGTGGCCAAGGAGCTGCAGTTCAACTACATCCCCGGTGCGTGGCGCCATGGAGCTGGGGGGCGTGAAACGTGGTGTTGAGGCTTCTGAGGCTCTTTTGGAGCCCGGTCACCACGATGGGAGACTGGGTGACTGAACGGAGTCGAGGTTGATTATCACTGGGGTCGGGGGCAGGGATAATAGGGGCTTGAAAGTGGGTAGGATTCAGGATTCCTAAAGCAAAGGTCAAGATGCTGGTACCTGGTAGTCAGATAGTGATGGTCAGGACTCTCGCAGACCCATAATTGCGGTGGTCGGAAGTCGCTGTGATTGGTGGTACCAGGAGTCTCAAGTCTGTCCAACAGTGACATTTTCACTGTCCCCTTCCAGTGGATGCAGAGATTGTCTCCATCGACACCTTCAACAAGTCACCCCCGAAGCAGGGCCTGGTTGTGGGGATCACTTTCATCAAGGTACCCAGAGCACCCTCCACCTACCCACACCCTCCTTACACACCAGCCATCTTGCCTTCCCCAAATCCCTCCTGCTACCCCTGAAGCCAGTTTCCTTCCCCAGGATTCAGGGGACAAGGGCTGCCCCTTTCTTAACATTTATTGCGACTATGAGCCTGGCTCTGAATTCAACCTTGACTCCATTGCGCGTGAGTGAGGCTGGGAACTGGGGGGTGGGAGGGGGGCCTGGCAAGTGTGGGGTGCCCATTTGCCTGTGTCCTCCTACAGAGAGCTGCCTGAACCTGGAGCTCCAGTTCACACCTTTCCAGCTGTGTCACACAGAGTGAGTGTCCCTGGGCACCTGGGGTCCCAGACCCCTGTCAGTGGGAGTCTGTTTCCCCATCTAGAAAACAAAAGGGTTATAGTCAATCAAGGACTGGAAACCAAAGTGCCATTGAGGCCAGAGAGGTTCAGCACAGCGGGGAGGGAGGGCATGGGGTGTGGTAGGGGCAGTAGCCAGCTGGAGACCACACACCTGCCCATGGACAGTATGCTTCTAAGGTGAATGTGGACCAGACAGCCAGGGGCCACCACTTTCTCAACCCTGAAGAAGATTACCTGAGAGAGCTCATTGAGCACCTGTGCTGTAGACATCAGGAATTAGCAGGTTCTGAGGTTCTAGATTCTGACATCCCCAGGTTCAAAGATGCTAAGTTTTATAGAGTTGTAAGCTCAAAGATTCCAAGGTTTGAAAGTTCTACAGTTTTATGGATACCAGCATCTTCTGAGATTCTGTATAAGGTTTCTAACATTCTCGTGTTACAAGCAGATGAAACACAGACCATCTAGAATCTCAAAGTTCTAGTGTTCCCAACTATGTGGATTCCACTCCAGGGCTTGTAGAACACCGGTGTTCTAACATAAGGGTTGGAAAACTGTATTTTTGCAAATTTATTCTGTGAAGACCCATATAGTAAAATATTAGGTTTTGGGGACCAGTCCCTGTCACAACTACTCAGTTCTGCCATTGTTGCAGGAGAGCAGCTGTTGATAACTGTGCAAATGAATGAGCACGACTGTGTTCCAATAAAACTTTATTTGCAAAAACAGGCAGTGGGTTGGTTTTGGTCTGCAGGTCCTGGTTTGCCAACCTGGGTCTAGCAGATAAAAGTTCTAAAACTGAAGATTCAAACTCAGCCATGTTCTAGATGCTAGGGTTTGGATGTTCCACACGTTCCACGAGACTACATACCCACCATGACAATTTCTAAAAGCCCTAGTCTTTCAGAGAAAACAAGAAACAACTTCTGGAATCCTGGGCTTCCAGATTGAAGAACCTCAGTGTTTTAAGGTTCTACAGTTCCATTCCAGAGAGAAAATTCCAGCCGGGGAGGGCCCCAGGAATGGGAGGTGCTGGCGTGAGTTTCTGTGGTGCTGAGATGGGGCAGCACCACAGTTAGGTGGCTCTGAGCTTCTGAGAGGGTTGGCTCCTGCAGGTCTGCGCTTCACAGAGGCAGATACTAAGAGCTGAAGTCTGAGATTCTAGTCTGGGTCTGCCATCTGAATGTGAGGGTTCTTACAAGCAAGGATTTCTGCCAAGAGGATCCAAAACATCTGGACTCAGCCACACTCAGGTCCTTCCATTTTCTCGATTTGTCTGCTTGCAGGGTCCAGGTTGGGGATCAGCTGGAGACTGTGTTTCTCCTGAGCGGGAACGACCCAGCCATCCATCTCTACAAGGAGGTGAGGCACCAACACACCCTGCCAGGGTTCCCCGTGGGCTGGCTCTGGGCGGGGGATGCCGGAGGTTGGTGGCTAACTCCAGGTACCTGGGTGGATCGTGTTCCCCCAGAATGAAGGGCTGCATCAGTTTGAAGAACAGCCCGTGGAGAACCTCTTCCCAGAGCTCACGAATCTGACCAGTAGGTAGGATGGGCCCCAGAAAAGCCAGCAGGGACCTAGGCTGTAACCTCAGAGAAGACAGTGGTGGGAAGTGCCTTTAAGGACAACAGGGGATCCTAGAGAAATTGAGCAGCTGGCACGAGCTCAGAAAAGGCAAGGTGTGACCCCCAGGGAAATTGACCAACAGTGGTGACCCCAGAGAGAACAGGAGGTGGACCCAGTAATCAGATGATGGGGATTGGCCCCAGAGCATTGGGCAGTGGGGATCACGACTTGCAAATCAGATTGCTGACCAGGTGCTGCAGGGAGGGGTGGGTGCTGGGAGCCACTGATGGTCCTCTGTGCTGTCCATTTGTCTGTCCATCCACCCGCCAACCAGTGTCCTCTGGCTTGATGTCCACAACCTCCCCGGCACATCCCGGCGCCTCTCGGCTCTCGGCTGTCAGAGTGGCTATGTCCGTGTCGCCCACGTGGACCAACGGAGTCAAGGTGAGGGCCAGGCCGTGCGCCAGGGCTGGGAACGGGGGCAGAGCCTTGAGTCCTTGCTCTCCATGCAGAGGTGCTGCACATGTGGACAGTCCTGCAGGACGGCCCCATCTCCCGAGTGATCGTGTTCAGCCTCACGGCCCCCGAGGGTGAGCTCAGGGCACAGGGACCAGGGGAGGCAACTCCACAGGTTCAGCTCCCCCACCCGAGTTGGTTCCCCCACCCGGGGTGTCAGACCCCATCCCTCCCTCCGCACCCTGTCCAGCCCTCGCGATGGCGTGCCCCTCCCCCCCCCTCCCCTCCCCTCCTCCCCCCTCCCCCCCTGCCCACGTGGCCTAGCACGGGTCTTCTCCGCTGGCCACCTCTGCTCTCCGTGCTTTGGTCTGACCTAGACTTTTGCTCCGGGGTTGAGCCGCGCCATTCCCTCTGTGGTCTGACCCTCACTCCTCCCCTGGTGCCCTACTCGCATCCCCCGTTCTGTCCTTTCTACTGTCTGCGGACCGACTGCTGTCCCACCACTCAGGATGGAACCATCAACCCCCGTGCGTTGGTCTCTTCCTGTTCCTTGACCCATCTGGCCTTGATGGCGTTTCTTTGGCCCCTGTGCCCTTTGGGGTTGGCCCTTACTCGCACCCCCCACCTGGTGTTCTCCACGACCCCTCAGGGACCGGTCTCTCTGCTGGGTCGAACCTCAGGCCCCTCACGTGGCCATCTAACACCCGCTCTTCCCTGTAGTACCGACCTCCGTCATTTCTCTTGTGGTCCAGCCTCTAACCTCCTGTCTTCTTTGAGACCTAAACTGGTGTTCCTCTCACCTAGGGGGACGGGGTGTGGGGAGGAACCTGTCCCCACAGACCCCGCACCACTGCCGTTCCTTCTGCAGAGGCCCCGGACCAGCCGCGGCAGGAGGCGTGCAGCGTGCTCGTGGTCAGCATGCTGGAGCCGGCAGTGGTGTACCGGTGAGGGCCTGGGCAGGGGGGGCCTGACCCCGCGACCCAACCTTGTCCTCCTCAGCAGGAGGTCCCTCTGGGTGAGGCTGGGCAGGGCTGGGCAGGTGAAGCTGTTGGTGACCCAGGAAGGGCACTGTGAGTATTTAACACCCGGGTCCTGTAGAGAGTGGACAGAGGCCTCGGGTGGGCAGAGATGCCCAGCCCTGGAGAGGGTGGGCCAGGGAGTGTTCCAGCTAGTATTTTCCCACACACCTGGGCAGGCCGCATCCATGGGGTCAGTGCCCCCACCGTGGAGTGGGGCAGGCACCCCAGCAGGAGACCAGAGCGTCTGAAAGCCCCGTCCACCCCCATGGGCCAACACAGCCAGCTCTGGCACACCACGGGTGGACGGGAGGTACCCGAGCCAGGTCCAAGCCGTCCAGGCTCTGGGGACAGCATGGGTGTCCAGACTGGGGACGGGGCGTGCGAATCCCCAGGAGGAGCACGGGGCCTCCTCTTGGGTGTGAGGTGGCCTGACCTGCAGAGTTGGGAGGCAGACACCCTGAGGGGCACAGGTCAGTGACCAGCTGACGCTGGGCTGGTCCTCAGGGACCTGCTGAACCGGGGCCTTGAAGACCAGCTTCTCCTGCCTGGCAGTGACCAGTTTGACAGCGTCCTCTGTGGCCTGGTCACTGATGTGGATTTAGATGGACAACCAGAAGTCCTGGTGGCCACCTATGGACAGGTGGGACATGCGGGCTGGGACTGCCGTGCCCCATGTCCCTGCGCCCCCCTCAGCCTGTGACCTTGCCTCCCGCCGCAGGAGCTGCTCTGCTATAAGTACCGCGGCCCCGAGTCGGGGCTGCCCGGGGCCACCCCTGGCTTCCAGCTGCTGTGGCGGCGGAGCTTCTCGAGCCCCCTGCTGGCCATGGCTCACGTGGACCTGACCGGCGACGGGCTGCAGGAGCTGGCCGTGGTCTCCTTGAAGGGCATGCACATCCTGCAGGTAACTCGCAGGCCAGGGCTGGGCACGGGGCCCGCGGAGGGTCCGCACATCTGTGGGACCAGGCCTGTTCCCGCAGGGTCCTCGTGGGCATCAGGGAGGCGGGACGGGACGCTAAGGAGGGGTCAGGCCTCAGCCTGGTCCGGGGGGAGCATGAGTGCTGTTTCTCCCCTTCCCGTGGGGTTCACTGCTGAGGCCACCTCCGGGGAGAGGTGTCCCTGTTGGCCAGGAGGACACACACTGCAGCTGGGTGGGCCCCTCCTGGGGGAGGAGGTTACCCGCCCGCCCCAGCTCCCCTCAGCCTCCAGGGGCCTCCCCACCCCCACGGTCCCTCCTCGAGCTCTGCTTCGCTGCCCTTCTCTGTGGCGAGCCTCAGCGCTGCCCACCGTGGGCCAACCTGAGTCTTCCCCTGCACCGGAGCCTCTGCCCCTGTGTCTGCGGGACTCACCTGCCTCACCTCGGCAGCCCTTTCTCCTCCGCTGGTCCCCACGGCACTGGCTGTGGCTAACTGCCAATTGCTGGTGGCATCGACTTCCACGTCCGACTTCTTACCCTGCCCTGCAGCGTGACCTCCAGCTGCCTGCTGCAGCAGCTCCAGGCACCCAGCCACTGTGCTCTGACCTCCCACTGACCTCTGACCTCTGACCCTCGCACAGCAGCCTAGGTGCCTTTCTGCCTGTCCTGGTCCATCATCCACCCATGGAAATGGCCCGTGGTCCAGCCTTGGACCCTCCATTACAATGTGTCTCCCCCTGCTCTGGTCTAGCCTTGACCTTCTGCTGACCGTCACCCCACCTTTGAGGCTGTACCGTACCTTGCCCACCTTACCCCTGCTCTCTCCTTCCCTCCCTTCTGACCCAGGGCCGCACTGGCTGGTCTAGCCTGGGTTCTCCTCTGGCTCTCCCCTCTGCTGCTGGAGTCTTCCTTGGGCCTTTTCCCACAGGCTAATCCTTCCAGAATGGTCTAGATTAGGCCCTAGGAGAAGATAGAGTGAGCTTCCAGTGGGAAATCTGAGGTTGGACCACCTTGGGCAGGACAAAGTGAGGTCTCAGGAAAAAGGGGTTTAGATGGTTAGGCTCCAGTGGAGATGCTTGAGATTAGCAGATGAGTCCTGAGGTTAGACCATGTGGAGACTCAGAGCCAGGAGAGAGGCTGAGGTTAGACCCTAATGCCAAGGACATAAACCCCACTGAAGAGGTCTGAGGTTAGACCCTAGTGGAAAAGACTGTGGTCTGATTGTGGGTGAAAGGGCTTCCTTTTACTGTGACCTCGCTGCCACATCACCCTTCATCACAGTCTACTTAAGCGTTTCACTCCAGCTGTCTGCTCCTCTCTCCCGGCTGCTGAGGTCTAACCTCAGACCTTCCAGCTGAGGTCTAACCCTGGCCCTCGTGTGTTAATAGAGCCTCTCTCTTCCCCTTGGATCTGCGGCTTCTTTGCCTTGTTGACCTGTCTTTTGCTGTTAGGGTCTCACCTTCGCCTCTCCAGGGTCATTGAGCCTCTAGTAATCGGACTCACTCCCTTTGTAGTGTTATCTGCTTTTATTTTGACCCATCTCTGACCCTTCCACTGATTTCTGGCCCGCTCCCCTACTTTTGGGTCTAGGCCTGTCCTTCCCACTGGAATTCACTTGAGACCTTCTCTCTGGGTCTAGCCTTCGTTCTGTCTCAGAAATTCCTTCTTCCCCACACCCTACAGTCTGCGCTCTGTGCCCTGCTGGCCCTTGGGTGTCCAGTCCCCACTGCCCGGCCGTGGTCTAGGTGCATTCCCTGCTTTGTCTCAGCTGGCCCTCCTCCTCCTCCTCTCCCCACAGCACAGTCTCATCCAGGCCTCTGAGCTGGTCCTGTCCCGGCTTCGGCGTCAAGTAGAACAGAGGAGACAGCGGCCACGGGGGCTTGGGGACAGGTCGGGCCCAGGGCCTGCAGAGCTCCCGGCCTCCTGAGCACCTACCTGTCGGTTCATTCTTCTTACACCTGGAGCAGTTCATGAGACACATCTCCAGCCGTTGATTTGAGGAGGTGTCCCAAGAAGAGTGTGGTCTCCCCAGGTCCCCGGGTGGGACAGCCCTGAGTCTCTGCTCTAACTTTGCCCCACGAGCCCTGTGACCCAGGCTAGCCCCTCTCTCTGTGCCTCGGCATCCCCAGCGGGAAACGGGCGATCCCACCCGCCATCTCCACTGCACTGAGCACTGGTCATGTGTCCAGAGAAACAAAGCTTTCACAGTCGACTTCATTCTTTTGTATGGCAAGCATTTTTTAAGCACCTACTGTATGCCAGGCTCTGTGGATGCTGGAGTCACCTAGAAAAATCAAGGGAGGAGGTTTTAAGGACAAGAGAATCCAAGGTTAGACCCAGAAACGGGACAGAGATTAGGTCCCAGTGTAGACCATAAAGGAGAAAACTAAGGTTAGACCCCAGCAAGAAAGTGGGAACCAAGCCACTGTGGAACGCTGGGTAAGATGAAGGGTCTGAGGTTAGACCCGGCAAGTGGTGGAGGTTTGCCCTCGTGGACTGGTCTGAGGTTGAACAGTTTAGCTCTCAGGATGACTGAGGACTCCATGGGTGAGACTCCATGGAAAGACTGTGGTGGGAGGAATTCTTGTGGGAGAACGTCGTCAAGTTGCCGCAGAGGATGTGAGACTAGGCCCCTGTGAATCATACTGGGGTTGGACCCCTCAAAAAAATGTGCAAAGGGCCTGGGTTAGGGCCCAGCAGAACAAAACTGCGGTTTGGTTTTCGTTTTGTTTGCGGCACTACCACTGAGCTACATCCCAGCCCTTTTTATTTTTTATTTTGAGACATGGTCTTGCTGAGTTTCTAAGGCTGGACTCAAACTGAGTCCTCCTGCCCCAGCCTCCCCAGCCTTTGGGTTTGCAGGTGTGCATCCCTGTGGCTGGCAGTAATATAGAGTTTAGATCCCAGTGGAGAATACTGAGGTGAAAACCAGACAGAACCCAGGGTGCACCGTACTGTAGAGGCTGAGGTCAGACCTAGTATGAGAAGCCCAGGACTTGGAGCTGCACACAGGCACCCAGGAGAAGGAACCAGTCTGCCTCCCAGGGACCATGGAAGGCAGAAGGCAGGAGATGAGTGAGGAAGCAGGCCTGCCCTCCCCCACCACAGGCCAGGAATAGAATCCGGGTCAGCGGGGTGTGGGGGGGGCATGGTTCCTGAGCAGGCTCCAGACTGGGACTTGGGCTTGGGTGGGATGCCTGCTCCTGTGTGTGGTGGGGGTGCAGCATCATGGTCATGTAGACCATCTGTCTCTGCCTCTGGCCATGGAAATCCTCCCATAAATCTGACCACCAGCCGGGACCAGGCCCAGCCTCCAGTCTCTACAGTGTGGGAGATAGGAGCCTCCCTGCCTTCATCCCTGCAAACTCCATCCCCCGCCGGGTCTCCCAGAAGCCAGGCCCAGCGTGGGGAGTTGCAGGGAGCTGGATCCTCTCCTCCTGGCAGAAGGCCCAAGGCTGGCTCACCAGGACAGGCAGTGGGCACGGGCACTGGCTTGAGCGGCTTCCTCCCCCGCTGCCACCTGCAGAGGCCCAGCACCGGGGCCTGGTGCATGGCCATCACCTCCTGCTCTGGGAGGTGCGGATAGGGCCGTGGGGAGAGGCAGCCGTGGGGAGAGGCAGCCGTGAGCAGTGGTGGCTGGGTCTGTGCACGTGCGGCAGGGCGTGTGCCTGTGTGTCCACTCCAGGGCCGGAGCACTCACGTCCCAGGAGCCAGGGCCACCTCCTGGGCCTTGGTGGTTTGCTTCCGGACTTCTTTTCATTTTTTAAACAAATAGTTTCCTGACCTCTTGCCCCAGCCTCAGCCTGCAGCGGTGCAGCGCGTGGCTTGAGGACACGGAGCCCAGAGCTGCGTTTCACCGCCCCCGCCTCAGTTTCCCAGCCTGGGAGATGGAGCCGATGGTAGCATCTGCTCCAGACTCAGCGGCGGCGGCAGTGTGGACGAGTGGCAGGCCTCATAAACATGTCCTCGCAGTGCCTGGCACGTGGTAGGGCTGTGTGAATGGCCGCCCTGTTATTATTATTAATGGGTGCCTTTGTGGTTGTTTCCGGCCTTCTTTGTTGGGGTTACTGCGCAGGCGCCCTGTGCAAATTTAGACCGACTGGCCCAACATTCTTGCCCCCCCTCGAGGCCCGTGACTATTTGTAGCTGCTTTGCATCTGGGCCCATGTATGGGCCGGAGACTGCGCGCGCTGGAGAGGACGGGGCGCTTCTCAGACCCGCAGACAGCGCCCTCCGCTGCTGTCCCTGGCCTCTGGTGCTGAACCCGGAGTCTGGGTCGGAGGCTCGGGCTGCCTCCGCTCCCGGCCTCACCCCCCCCCGTCCGGCCCCGCCCCGCCCTCGCCGGCTCCTCCCTCCGGCCCCCTCCCCGCCCCCGCCCCCTCCCCTGCTGCCTGCTCGGTCCCTCGCCAGTCGCGGCGCCTCTCGCTCCTCTCCCGCTGGCGGAGTCGCCCACCGCGGCCAGCCCAGCTGGGGGCACCTGCCCAGGCCGTGGGCGCAGGTAAGCGACCGAGCGCGGGGCGTGGGAGGAGACGCGGCCCCCAGGTGCGCGGTGGGGACGCGGGGGAGCTCCCTGGGCTCCCGGGGCCGGGCTGCGCGTCGGGCGGGGACCGGGGTGGGCAGGGGCCCCGGGGACCCCGGCCGCAGTCGCCGCCTTCCCGTGCCTGGCGCGCCTCCGGGGTCCCCGCGCCTCTCCCGGCGTCCCCGTCTGCCGCGCACTCCGTCCCCCGGCGGGTCCGCGGGCTCCCCGCGACGACTTCAAGTCCTCGGGTTCGCCGCCACCTCTTGCGCCATCTCTGCCTCCGCCTCTCGGGTCCGGCGGTCCCGGGCTCGGGTCCGTCTGTCTGTCGGTCTGTTCGTCATCTGTCTCCCGCCTGCCTACCGCTCTGTCTCCCTGTCTCCCTGTCTCTGTTCCTTCTCGCCCTGGGAGCCGGTTACTCCTCCTACACACCTTTGCCTCCGCCCCTGGCAGGGGACCTGGGGGAAGACGGTCCCCCGCAGAGTGGCCCCCAGCAGGCCTGGAGCCCCCCAAACTCCGCGCCCCTCTCCAGCGGAGTTCCCTCCCATCCTCCCAGCGGCATCCGCCCCATCTCTCCCCAAGCAGAGCCCCTCCCCTGCCTTGTTGCTGGCACTCAGAGGCTGGTCCTTCCTGCAGTCTAACCTGCAACCTTTGTAGTAGAGATTGCACGGAGTAGTTCTTTCTTTTTCTAACCTTTCCTTTCCTCTTCGAATAAACTGGACCAGACCTTCCAGTCTAACTTCCATGCCTCTTGCTGTTTGTCCAGCTCTGGACTTATTCATTCTTTTGCCAACTGCTGAGTGACTTTCTTATTCCAGGCATAGCACTTCGTGTTGGCTCAGGTCATGCCAGTCCTTCCTATAGTCTCACTTCCATCCCTCTTGTGGCATGCCTGTCTCAGACTTGTCAGTAAGCTGGATTGCAAGGGCTTTCCAGACACCTCCTGGGGACTTTGAGAGGACCCTTCTGAGTCCAGAGGCCCAGACATCCTCTTCCTTCTTCGAGGGACGGGACTCTGGTGAAGGTGGGCGAGAGAGAGTAGGTGACCAGGGGGAGGTTTGAGCCCATGGCTGGAGCTGGCATGGGACCATATGTGCCCGTGTGTCCACCTCCTTCCTGGCTGCAAGTGAAGTCCCCGCCCAGCGTGACAGTGCCATGTGGGGACTCCAGATGGCTTGGGAGATCACCGGGCTAGGACTCTCCATCTATGCTCTGCCCCCGGCTTGGCCGAGCCCTTGGTGTGTGGAGTTGGTGTGTGTGGTCCCCAGCTGGGATGCGGTGTGCAGGAGAGCCTGGGCCCTGGGGGCACTGAGGAGCTCAGGTAGAATCCGCACCCCAAAACCGCATCGTCCTCCCAGGGCCAGCTGGAGGAACCCTGCCTGGCCCCGCCCACTCTCTGAGCAGGTGAGGGACCCCAGAGGTCCCACCGGTCACCAGGCCCACGTGCCCCTAGGCCTGCACTCACCCAGCACCCCTCCAGGCGGATGACCAGGAACTGGGGCGCTCACCACTGACCCAGCTGGCCACAGGCCCAGGAGGCCGAGGCCAGTAAGAGGTGACCCGGAGATGCTGCCACCTCCCTGGGCCCCAGAGAAGGTGCCTGCTATCTGCCCCACCCCCTCGCGGCTCAGGCGATCCTGTTGCCCCTGCACCCGACACAGCAGATCAGGTTCCAGGGCCGCTGCTGGAGGAGGCGGGGAGCCCGAGCTGCAGGGGCGGCAGGCTCTGGTCATCATTTCACAAATATTTATCTAGTGCTTTCTCTTCCAGCCTCCTCCCCAGGCCCCAGTGAGAGGGAACTGGGCAGCAGGAAAGCCTTGGGGAGGCTGCCTTGCCAGCCCTGCAAGGAGGGGGCTTGAGCACGCATCCTGGCATGCTGCTCTGAACCTGGTCTCCCTTGAGGGCTGCAGCAGCAGAGACCGGTGGTTAGACTTGGGGGAAGACTTCCCAGGCCGCAGCTCCCTCCCAGAGAAAGGGAGTTAATGTGTTGAAGGATTCTCACTCTCAGGTGGCCCGTTTCTCCTGGAAGGCAAAGTGGAGGGAGGAAGGAACAAGCTTAAGTGTTTGCTCTGGATCCTGGTGGGCCTGTAATTATGCCTAAGTCGTTGCTAATTAGGGGGCTGCTAATTAGATGTATCATTAGGGGCCTTGTTGAGGGGACTAATTGTTCCGTGGCCCTTTAAGGATCACCCCTCTCCCCGCCCCTGCCTAAACCCCCCCCTTTTGGAGAAGTTCTGCCAACATTCTGCCTCCCTCCCCCAGAGGAGCCAGCTCCCAGCCCATGGTATGTGGGTGTGAGTTGGGGGCAGGCTGTGGGTTAGACTCCCAGAGGAACTTTTTAGACAGAATTGGAAGTTACTGGGAGACTTAAGGCTGATGGCAGAGAGAGGGGTCTGAGAGGGTGGAGGCTCAGATGACACCTCCCTCTCTCCCTCTCTCCTCCATTTATAGGCACTGGGTTACCATGGCAACATGAGGGTGGGGCAGAGGCGCTCAGACTCTGAGCCCCTCTTGGAGAGAGCCTGGGAGCCACAGAGTTGGTGCTGGGTGACTTTGGGCAGGTTATTTAACCTCTGAGCCTTGAGCTTCTCATCTGTGAAATGGATGGGGACTCCCCCAAGGGGGTGGTGTCATTCTGGATTGAGTGTCCAGGTAAGGTGACGTCAGAGTGGATACCTGAAGGAAGAGGGTGCAAGGTTCG